AGTGAGATGCAAAGGAGTTTGTGATTTGTATATACAATGGAAATATTTAAATTTAATTACTTGTTGTGTTGTATATAATATGAGAGACATTTAAATTTAATTAATTATTGTGGATTTTACAAAATAGCTATTTTAAATTTAAGTGCGTATTTAATTGAGATTTTTAAAAAAAATTGAAGAACTTTTAAGACTTTGAAAATTATGGTATAATTTAATTTAGAGTTCTCAAAACTTACAAAATTCTTGAGATATTCATTTGGTATTGATCCCGATATATTTAATTATTTGAGATTAACATTTGTTAAAACTTTCTAAGATTTGTTGGAATTTCTAAAGAAATAAACATATACTAAAACTCATTACAAATCTCACATCCAAACTTAAAATTTCATAAGATTCCTCTAATTTAAAAATTTCAAATCTCGATTAGCCTTTAAATGTCACTCGAAATTCCAAACGAATCTCATGCACGGTTTTGAATGAGAGAAAGAAGTGAGGAATCCTCTTTTCGACTCTGACTCTCCCACTCACACCTACTTGTCGTGGATTTTACAATAGCTACTTGCTAAAGAAGTATGAATATCTAGTTGCCACTTAAAATTGGTAAATTTTATTAAATGTAGTTAGGATTATATTGTCGAAAAAAATTACTAAAATCAAAAACAACTTTAGTTACTAAAAAACAAAGTACCATAAATTAGTGAGAATAAATAGATAAAATATTGTGAGTGAATCAATTTTTGATAATAAAAAAAAAAATTATTTTCGAAATTCAAAGGTACTAAAGATAATAAGGAAAAAAGAGAAATGTAACAGCTACACAGTAAATGAGGTTTTGATCAATATTAATATAGCAACAAATTATTACAAATCAAATATGTTTTTATAATAAAATAATAAGAAAAATAAAATTGAAAAGTAACGGTTTTTGGCGGGAAAGTGCCACATAGGTATAATTTAATAGGTTTTATTAAATGTTTATGAGCCAGTAAATATATATATATATATATATATATATATATATATATTAAACCGGATAGACCAAAACCGGTTTATAACCAGTCTAGTTCGCTTGAATAAAATGTGTGTTATCGAATCCGTCAACGCCAGCAGGTTGGACTGGTAGGATCGATGCGGTTTTCTAAATAAATTTTGTTTCATTTAAAATTATTTTAAATAAAATTACATATTTAAATGAAATAGATATTTATAAATTGTTTATCAATTAGTTTAAATATTTGAATTTTTAAATTGTTTAGATATTTAAGTATCACATTTTATTTAATTTCATTACAAAAAGTACTATATATATATATATATTAAAATGTTTATAAATTAAAATCTGAACAAACAAATAATTTATTAAAAGAACTTGATCTTGTCGATAGCGGTGCGGTTCTGAAAATCTTATATTTACTGTACATTAATAAAAATTATAATAAAATATTACTTCATTCACATAAATAATAATAAAATAATATATAAATATTCGTAAATCATTAAATAAGTTGTCATAAAAGTATTGTTAATATATTATTTGAAGTTTGAACTACATCACATTCACGTAATAAAATATTTTCAATATTAAAGTTTATATTTAGGTTCAATAATCAATTTGGTCAGGTCAAAATAATACATAACTTAGTCAACTGGGACCAACCAAGTTGTGTCAAATTTTTTTTTTTTTTACTATTCTAAATATCACATAAAAGTAATTCAATCATCTTGGCAGTACTCTAATTTAGTCACTCAATTGGTTAAAAAAAAAATTCCTTATTTTCTTTAAATATATTTAATTTTACGAAATAAAAATATTTTATGATTCATATAATAAATGTCTACACCATAATAGTATATTATGATTATTATATATCTAAAGATAATTAATTATCTTTACTTTATGCATATTAATAAAAAATAACATAATAATTTTAAAAAAAAAGATTAATTGATTGGATATGCAATTTAAAGAATATTGTAGCGTCCAATATTTTTTTCTTTGAAGGCACAAATATAAAGACCGAGATTCTAAAACTTTTGTTAAATTTGAATTGAGATTTTATAAATATAGGGATCGAGATTTTAATGTTGTTCGTTGTTTCTAAGAAAAATAAAAATAAAAGTATGCACACTTAATAGACCTTAGCCGAATTTTTTAAATAATAAAATGAACAAAAGCTCAAAATTTATGGTAGCATTTAATGTTGTATGATTTTTAAAGAAAAAAACAAGAAAAATAACAAAACTTACTATTTATGGGCTGCATTAATTCTGACCTATTATATGCTATTATTTTTGGTAAATAATTGTTCTTATTATATATATAGATATAAATTTTAAATTTTGAATTTGAAGAGTTTTCTAATCAATGACTGGAAAAATAATTTTTTTATTCTAAATCAACCATATCTTCAAATTTACAATGTTTTGTAATTACAATCTTTAATTTTAAGTCAACAGTAATTTTAAATCAACAGTAAATGAAAAAATGAGAAATAAAATGCATTACACGATTTTCTGTAAAAAAATGTTCGAGCATTTAAATATTAAATCAGCACTAATTAATTTTTATTCAACAATTAAAGATGCATAGCAAGACAATTTAATTTGTCCAACAGTGTAGGGTAATATAGTTGGTTCCTTTATTAAGCACGATTTTTTCAAAATCAAAATAACAACTTCTGCAATTAATGTGCAACATTTAATGTTGCCTTTTTTTTAAAAAAAAAAAAAGAAAAGTTTTGACCAAAGTTTGACATGCTATTTTTGAAAAAAAAGTATTCATATATATATATATATATATATATATATATATATATATATAATATAGATTTTGATACCCAATATTTCATTTAATTAGTTGCATTACAACAAAAAATACATAAGTATTAACTAATAAAATTTTATTTAACCACAAAAAAGATAAAATTTTGTACAACAAATAATACATAAGTATTAATTAATAATTTATTTAAATATAGATTTTAATTTTATATACCTCTTACAATGTTATATTATTATTTGTAAGTTAAAATAGCAACTCACACCCGTAAAACTCGTTCATAAAGGTATATTTAGTTTTTTTTTTTTTATTTCACATATCCAATAGCAGTACGGATATCAATATAAAATATCTTCAAAATATGATTAATTTGATATTCAAGATGCAATAGCAACTCGTTTAACGAGTTGAACTTGGCTTAGCCAATTAAGACTCAATAATAAGATATTTTTTACATAACTATCTAAAACATTATCTTACTTTGGCTCGTTAACGATGAAGCTCAACTCTTTAATCTTTGGTAAAATAAGTCGAGCTAATTTATTCACACGATAAAGGCTCGAGTATGAACTCAAATGTGAGGAGTTCATGTTTCGACGGAACTCGTTTATAACTCTACGAGGAATATACTTTCCCACCTCATAAGATTCATAGTACTTTTATTTTCCAATATGTGGGAGGAAAAAAAGCACTCGGTGAAAAAGATAAGAGGAATTATATTCCACCTTTGATGACTCGAATACAGGCACACTCACAAAGAGTGGTAGTTTGGTTCTTTTTGTGATGCAAACATCACCATCATCATCATCATAATAGCTCTCTTATATA